AAGCAGTGCGAAAATAGCTCGCTTCATTGCATTCGACTGTTACGAGCGGTGTCCTTGGACGATAACACCGATGTGGAATGCACAGCTGCCCGGCTCGAGCCTTGGAAAGTGTATTTCCTAGGCGCTTTCGACGTGAGGGACTGCACGGAGAAAGCTAAGGCTTTCATGAATGCCATCTCCTTTTGAAAATGGCTCACGTCGGCATATGGTGGAGCATTCCCTTTCCTTTCCGGGTTGACGAACATTCGGATTGGGATCGACGACAGGTCGGCATGGAATTCAACCCTGAGAGCAACCAACATGAGGCATCTTCTGGTCTTTTAAACGCTGTGGGAATTTGCTTCAACAGGAATCCCCCTCTGAAGATACCGAGCTTCTATAGATGATAGCTGAAACCACGGATGACAACTACACTCTCTGACCCTTTGAACCCTAGCTTCCATACCCGTATCCGCCCCCACCCTAGGCTTCTGGGCGGGTCAGAGCACCTGTTGCTCAGGCCGGAAAACCGGCCTGACGGGTTCAAAGGGTTAAACTAGCCGAAGAGAGTAACTCTCTCCGGCTGGAAACTCGTCCTTCATGGAAGATGACAGGCCCAACGAGGAGGATGTTCCCTTCATGAATGCAGCTCATTCGACCGTCTCGGCCGCCCACGACCTTCCGACCCCATCGTGAAAGAAGCACTTACTACACGGCGCTCCTAGCCCCAAGACCCACTTTCAACTATCCCACGTCAAAAGTAACTCAACAGCAAATTTTTCCCCCTTCCTAACTCCTCTCCAGGTTTCGACCACATCCCGCCACGCTCTTGTGATCCTCGTACTGTCGACAAGCCTTAAAACTGGACTGGATTCATCCATCCCTGAAAAGGGCAAACACTCTCGGGTGATCTGCAGACTGATTTCTGTACTCTTTCGAGGTTTTCGCGAAGCTCTATTGAGCCATGCTCGAATCAAGAGACGCAACTCCCCATTTCGGAAAAAAAGACTTAGAAAATGACATACCCGTGAGACTGGACGGATCCATTTCACAGACGACCTATAATTACACATAACTTATTAGTAGATATTAGATAAAGTTTAGGTTGGTCATCTGACTGCCTCTTCCTGGACTCGGACTTCGTCTCCGCTTCCCGTTCTCCATTGAGAAACCGTGATACTATTGCATCCCCGCCTCCATCGTTGTCCTGATCTCCGACTTTTCCTCCGACCGATACCGGTTTCGGTCCCTCAAAGGTCTCCACGACCATGTATGCCGAGGGATTTACCGTCTTCTTTTCCTCTATGTCGTCAACTACCATCACCATGATTCTTTCCCCTCGACTCGACAAGAGCACGCAAAAATTGGTAAGGTACAGCTTCCTAACAACGAAAGCACATTTACGTTCCCTGATAACCTGAAGATTATGAAACTGCCTCCCAGCAATACTCGCCTCTCACTCGATGACATAAACATGCAGTAAGTAGCAAAATTTGAAAATGTACCATGGCCTGAGGACATACCATAGACGACTCCCTGACCTGAAAGCTTCAAATTCTCGATCTGCTAAAATCGCGATCTGGGCGCAATATGTACCCACACAGCACAGGTATATCCAATAGATATCCCCTTGGGACAAGTGAGAAGTCCCAGACATAACAAGTGGGGATATCTCAAAATGTCTGGGCATAAAGACATCCCAAGCACGTCTCTTTCTTGCAGCGCAAGTACAGTATATCTGAAGGATGTCCCAGAGATATTGTCTAGGGACAAGTGAGAAGTCCCAGGTAGTACTTGCAGACGCCTTCGTATCTGCAATGGACTCATTTCCTACCATACAGGACAACCCATTACTTACAAAGATGTCTCTATTTGATGGGGGAGAGGGAGGAAAATCCCGTTCTTGAAAGATCCCAATGTAGGAGACAACATCTCAAAGGGATGAAATTTAGCACTTTTCACAAGAAGTCATGGACGAGATCTTTAGGCCTTACGCCTTATAACAAGGATGGGATCAGGTCTCCAACCAAGATAGTTGTATCCATATATGCCGATCAGACATCATTAATGAGAATATAACGAAATGAATTAAAATTCGGGCTGCAATTTCCCTAGTGGCAGTTTTCCTGATGTACAGTACAAAAATCCTTACTTATCCTCATGACAAATCAAGTAGATAAATTTGATATAAAAGATCTGAAGTTGGAGATCAGGGGCCACGGGAGACATCTACTGTCGAAGCTATGCACCTGAATGAAGGCGACAAGGAGTACTGAATATGTCCCGAAGACATTCTCCTCGAGATGTCGAAAAGCGTTTGACTGAAGATCTTTTAAAGACATCCCTTATGGGATATACAGGAGCATTCGACAAATGATGTCTTGAAGATTGGGACAAGTCGTCCAGTTGGGGGCATCCTGGGATATCACTGTGTTGTGTGGGATATTCCCTCAATGTGGCTAAAGCCATCTCTCTGCCCAGAAGCACTAGGCTTCCTACTAAGAACGTCCTTGTTGGTCCGCACAACCTCTATCGATTTGCCGGATGAGGCAAAAAAACAAACAAATATGCCACTCTTTGAGATTCTTCGTAGCTCATGAGATGGAAGATACCATGGGAAATACTTTTTTTGCAACGGCTTCTATGTACCCTTCGAACGTTCTGAAAGTCTCGTTAATTTATCTTGAGCCGTTTTCCCACATGAGCGATATAGTAAAGGCAACTCTAATTTTATTTTTGCTCGGGGAAATTAATCGGCGGGAGAGTGGTTCATATATTGATGCGCTCTACGCGTGGAGCACACCAATCTCGGGCCTCTACACTCCCGTCTGCCCATCAAAATGGAGCTCTCTGCGAAAGGATAGAGTGAAGCAAGAATTTCCTGGTAAGGGATGAAATAATCTCTCTTAACGATAGGTAGGCCTACCGTTAAGAGACCGATTCAATAACTGCAAGAAACCGGTTCATCCGAGAGGATGGGGAATACCGAAACCAGCTTCAATTGAATAAAACCGCGTCTGTTTTTTTTTTTTCAGGATGATGATCCAGGGATGCAATAATCCTATTTGTAAAGACCCTTGTGAGGAATTGTTATCCCATTAGTTGGGCAGGTCGGGTCAGCGGTCAGGCGCGAGCACAAAAATCAAATTCCAGTTGCTTTTGTAAAATCACTTGTGTGGTAAAACGGCTAGAGATAAAAGGGCCAACATTTTTAGGATTCTTAAAGGGTGCATAGACGTATGCATGAAAGAAACTTCGTTGGGTTCCTGGCTGTTTCACACGGGCTGCAGAATTTGAAAGATCCGCGCATTTGCCTCACTCGGTATAATGGACTCGGGGTCTCTCCGGTGACAAGTAGATATTTTAGTAGTTTAGAGGATAAGCTCCTACTGAAACCTCTACGAAAGATCTCCAGGGAGATCGACTCCTTAGAAGCTAGAAAATTCATCGCAGCAGTCATGTCACGTTTGATACCCCTTCAACAGACCCTTTGGTAACACATTGAAAAAAAATTAATATCTAAGCTACCTTCAATTTATTGAATTCAATACAAATATGATGATGGAATTCCGCCAGTCACCTTAAAAAAAAATTCTGTCTTTGATGGTGATTTATTTGATGATTTCAAGGAAGAGGCACTGAATCTTGAGGCCTCTTCAAAAGATGTAATTAGCATTCCTTTCAGATGATACCATTTGAATATTTTGTATCTTTCTACAAGGGTCTTCTCTACAAAGGGCAGTAGCATCATTTCCAGGCATCTCTTTCAGGAAGATATCCTGAAAATTTCCAGTAGAAATTGAACCAGTTCTATGGGAAAAAATACCAGATGTTATGTTTAGAATACTTCTCATATTCATCAGCCACATACTGATTGATACTGCCAGAGTAAAATCAGCGATATACCATATCACTCTCAACAAACTATGAAGAATTTTTCATTCTGAGAAAAGCCCCATAAGAAACTTCTGAATCCATTCACATCCCATGTGCAAGGAAGAAAGAGGCCTGAGATTCGTAATATGGAAGTTGAGAAAAAATGCATATCAGCAAAACATTATGGCAGGTGGCACAAGCATTACGAATCACACAAAACACCTATTGTAAAGTGGATTATAATATTTTTAAATAACTGAGAAAATACTCAAATATTTTAACTAAAACCTTGAAGTATCTATGCTTTTGAATGAAGAGCAAAAATCATTCAAGCATCAGTAAGAAATTCAGCTTTTCCATCACTATTACATTACAAGGGCTTCAGATGTGCCCTATTGACTTTCATTTCATACTAAAATCTCTGCATATATGGCTGCAATCTTGGTGTAGCATTCTTGACTCTGTAGGGTCATTATGAGGAATACCTCATGTGTTTTGAAAGTACTTTGAATGAAGGTGTGCTTTGAAGTGGATAAACAGAGGGTTTTTGAATCAAGGACTGTGTTCAATGAGGTCTCTTCCATCTTCAGCCCCTTTGAACTAAAACAGGATTGTATTGAAATCTTCCTTTTTCAACTGCAACCTAATGACCAGACTCGTAGAAAGCTGAACTTCCTATAAAAGCTAGAATGTTTACAGCTTCTTATCAAACAATCAACCAGCTTCAACCTTCTAAGATAAACTTTAAAGTACTTTCTCGGTAGTATTAAAAACTTATGACCTCTCTTCAGTAGAGGCCATAAAATGCCAAACAAGATGATTTATATTTGTGCTACATGGTATGTTGCTTTCCATAATACACATCTAATGATTAAAAGTGTAACATATCACTTTATAAATTGGTGTGGGGAAAAAATTCATAAGAATAGACCAATAGCAAATCCCTCTTGGGGGAAATGAGTTTGAAACTTTGCTTCTCAACAGAAACAATTACATATAACTTGCCAAGGAACAATTTGAATATAAATATTGAAACACAAGAACAAAGCCGCTAAAATTTTAAATATTATTTCACAAAAGAAAAAGTTTCAAGTTTCAAGCACTTAGATGTGAAACAGATGGGGTGACTAGTCCTCAAGTAGTATTTAAGTAACAGAATCTTTCTGGCCATGTATGCTGCAGTAGCTTTGAGACACAACTTCCACGGGAAGAGCACTCCCACTTTCCTGGTTGGGATGAACATGGGTCAGATCAATAACACCACTAACAACAGTGTGACCATTCTGGATATACAGGAGAACATCATCTGGCTAGTTTCATGCTAGCTGGTCTTCGCAAAATGCACAACTCAGAAAATGACAGAGCAACAAACAATGACATGCAGAGCAGCTCTTTCTCAGTTGGTTCCCGTATCTTGTACTCGTCCCAGAGATGTGGCAGAAGGTCAATCTGGGTTTGTGCAGAGGTGCATGTCTTCGAAACAATATCTTCTAAAAGGGACTGCCCAGAAACCCTCTCTTTGCCCACTTGCAGGTTAAACAGTTTTGACACATGGACTGGTTTCATATAGACCAGGGATGGTGCACCTCGATGCTCTATGTTCTTATTGAGCAAGGCAAAGAGGAATGCATGCAGTTGGTTAAGTTGAAGGTGGAAGGGAAAATATGCTGGCTGGATCCCACGCATTGGTCTCTCTTCCATCACATACACCTGGGCCTGTGGTAACTTCCTAATTCCTTCTATCACCTGCTCCAAAATGATATAAAAAATTAATGGGACATACAATAGAGAGAGAGAGAGAGAGCACAATTGCAGTGGAGCTTACAAGTTTGAGCATATCAATGTTACTTGTTTTCTTGCCAGGCACTAGGAGAGGAAATGTGTCCCAGGACAATAGGCACCGATTGCTTTCATCTGCTTCATCCAGGTGAATATGGGCCCAACTCATCTGCCCCACTGTCACCTGCAGTCCCACTATTGACTTCATGTCCTGCACATCCAATTCCAGGATATGCTCAGCGTCTGCATTCTCTATTGCAATAATATCATGACTTTTTAATGTGAGGAAGGCTCCATACCTTGATCTCATCCTGACCAAGCCTAGGAGAGCAGAACTGAAGATGATTCTCTCCTTCTGCAGAAATATCTCGCTTTAAGATGCTCTCAAAGAATCTCTCCATGACCTGTCACATGAAGCAGTGAGGTGAAATTGTAAGAGTGGTTATAGGCTTCCAGGGTGTCATTGAAAATAGATCAATAGTTTTCCAAGTATGTAATAATAATGCAATATGCAATGAATGGGAAAGGAATAACCTTATTCTGTCACTTTTACTGTAGCTATTACATGACAGCAACAAGAAAACCCCTGTGTCATGGAAGTTTGGCAAAATGAGAGCTTCACTCCTCCTACAATTTAATCCTGATTTTTTTTTTCCTGAATTAACACAAACAAGATTTTACACTTTCAAACAGAAACTCATACAGAGGTAGCTAAGGACATTTAAATAAGGTGTTTTGTATTATTTTTTATTGCTGTCCTTTGGCAGGATAGGTAGGCTTCATAGCTTTCATCTGTTAGCAACTGTAGTTAATAATTTGACATCCATGACTGAGTTACCCATTGTTGGCCTAATGCCAAGGGATGGAAAAAGGTTGGATTGTCAGTGCTTGAGGACAAATATAAGGAGTGGGGCCATTCTATCCTATTTTCAATATTGCCCATTGTTTCCCTTTACTTTTATTCAAACACTCTTCATGGCAGGTCTACTTTTAAGATTGTTCTCATGACATATGAGGGTTGCTAGTCAAGTCCCAAGGGTGATTTTGCAATTATTGAAAAGCAAATTTATGGGTGTTTTAGGTGTTCATCCCCTAAAGCAGTATTAGTTTTCCTTGAGCAAAGCAAGCAGTAAGAGGTAGTTCTACATACCCTGAAAGGGATATCTTAGATTTAAAAAAAATATAGAAAAGATATGCAATCAAATTTTGAGTCCCAAATGGTAAACTTGTCACAAAACCTGTTGTTAAAATAACAGCTTTTCAAGACTCTTGTCTTGGCTGAACAATAACTATTTAGTGCCACTGCCACTTTTACAGTGGTCATGAGTCCATATTGGAGTAATCGCATTTTGGAAGGGTTGCTATTTCCAAAACAGATGGCAATGCTGCCTAAGTTATGTCTTCATTTGATTGAGACAGAAGGATGACTGTCAGAGAGCTGGCAAGGAAGTTTACAAAAATGTGTAAAATAAGTTTGAGCAGACTTCAGATGTGGGATATGACAAATTTTTCTGTTATTCTAATCCTGCAGCTGTTACCATGGGAATGATACATTGTTTATGTCACCATCTATGACTAGCTCAATTGGGGTGATAGAACTTTGACTCTTTCCTGGGCTGGGCTATCACTTGCACATAAACATATACTGTATATAGTGGTTTCATCATCATGACCCCAGAATGACCTCTGGCAAGGAGGAGTCAATGGCTTTGAAAAAACCTCAAGAACTCAGATTCCAAAAGAAAAATTCTCAAAGATCAAGTGGAGGAACCACATTCCTCAGTTTTTAATGTGAAGGGCATTGCATAAGACCACGCTTTGTCTCAATGGCAAACTCAGTGGGAAATATGATTTCTAAAATGTCTTCAGGAAGAGCTCCTGGCATTGTTCTTTGCAACATTCATTCCACTTTTTTAACTATGAAAGCTTCATGCCCCCTATATATTGGATCAATGTATTATGCAGACAATAATCAGACAGTAGATATATAACACTGTTGGATGTTTGTCCAAACCATAGCAACACTGTCAATTTATTTTTAAAAAAAACACAACTCCTTGCACAATTTATTTTTGGCAGTGACATTCAAGAAGAGAGCATTGCATTAAAGATATCTTACCCGAACACCAAATCCTTCCACCTCGAGGATTTCATCAATGCTCTGAAGGATTCCATGCTTCTTTCGGTAACGGAGAATATTCTTTGCCCGTCCCTTGGATACTGAATATTGAGCCAATTCACCCTCATTGCCTTGGTTAATCTTCTCCAATATCTGATTCTGCTCATCCACTGAATACTTGACTTGATACTCTATTATCTTGGTAGCAGATGTCCATATGCTTGCTGTATGGACCTAAAATAAAAGTTTGAAGTAAATCTGAAAATGTAAAAATATCAAGGGGCACTTCTTAACCAATATATGCTTTTATTTTTTTTAAAGGGAATGACTGTCCTGAGCAGATTAGCATCCTGAGCAATAACTCTCTGCCTGACAGCATTGACTTCAGTCATGAAACACAAAGAATATCCATCTCAGACAATAATATTTGCATAAGCTCTTTTCTGTTTGCAGTGTATTAGCATGGGGAACAACCCATGCATGAGTGTCCAAATCAAGTGAAAAACACTGTAAATCCATCTGAGCCTAAGGAGATGAAAAGATGGGAAGTGGGAAGAAAGTATCAATGGCCATTCACCATACAGGGATGTAGAGGGCAGAACTTAAAGTGAACTGGTTCATTCTATGGGACTTCATATGGGAATGATGTTGAAAGAGTATATGAATAGGCTCCCATCCACAAAGTAGGCCTGAGTTTTCTTCTAACATGTGCGTATGCATGGTTGGACGTGCTAGCCTCAAGGTCCTGAGTTTGATCAGATCGCAGTCGTATTCTTTTCTAAGGATGGTGATGTCAAACTTCAAGATTACTGAGGCCTAATTTAAAGTGCCTAATGATGGAAATCCTAAAGTGCGAGGCGAAGCTTACCTGCCCTTCTGGACATGGAATTGACGATCCGACGCGCCCGATGTATCGAGGATTACCTTTCCTCGCAACTTTCTTACATGGGGCACTCCAATGACTTGGTGATGAACTGCAATACCGGAACGGGGTCTTCAGAAGACTCAAAATTTCTCGAAGCTGCATAGTATGAACCGGCCTACAGCGCCGGAATCTGGAGATTCGCGCGACCGTAGCTGCAGCGAACTAGGCCACATGTAGTTACAAGGGAGCGGCCATAGAAATGTGAATGTCACCCATAGAGAATCCAGTCGAAGTCAGTTCCTCAGTGGGATGATAGCGTCAAAATCACGTTTTACCTATTCAAAAACTTACGATAGGTCAGACAACTCAAGATGGATGCACCTTCCACCAAAGATATTACTCATTCATTTTTCCGTTTTCATTACGATGAACAGATCCATAAGAAATTCTTCGGCTTGCATATCAGTCCCCCCCCCTCAACTGAGGAGGGAGACAAACGAGTGGGGGAATTCTATGTCATCGATACATCTGAACTTTGAGAAAATATTGTAATGCCATTTATTAATAGACTTGGATGAGCGTACTCTCTTGATCTAATTGAAAGTACTGCAGACAGTGCTGTACCTTATCTCCAGAGGCTTTTTAGACTTTATAGCGTAAGAATCATTAACTATTCTAATACTCCTCTAGCAGTGGCGGCTCATGATATTTAGCGCTAATGGTTCATCTATGGAGAGGGAGTAAGCAGTGCTTACTTCCTCTCCATAGACAAACTAAAGTACTAGCGCTAAATATCACGAGCCGCCCCTGCCCTCTAGAAACGTGGATTTATAACAACAAATTCGATTGTCCTGCCATCTGGAAAAGAAGGCAGATTCCGACAGATCGTAGGGAAAGTAAATCCTTCTCTATATCGAGAGAGATAAATTATTGCTACTTTTGAAATGAGATGGGTACTCCTACCATGGACTAATCCTTCATCCTCTGAGCCAGTATTGTCCGGAATCATCCTTGACTGAATTAATTCCTAATACAAATATTTTAAAGAATTCCAGCGGACTTCCCCTGGGTTATAAGTGGAAATGATCTGGTATCTTATGATACCAGACCAATTCCCACATATTGGTATTGGGGTCTTATTTCAGAGGCATTCAGGAATGTTTCTCTTTTTTGACCAGGCGTCATTTGGCTTCCGTCATCGGAACCATACTGACCCAAGTCAGATGACTTTATCGCTGTCTTTTAGAAACGTTATGCTAACATTCACGTTAGATATTATAGCAGCGTTAGAAGAAGTAGAAGTTAAAAGTAAGAAGTCAGAAGAAAAGTCAGGAATCGTGGGGATATAATTTTTTTTTAAGGTACGATAGCAATAAACTAAGGGTGAACGTGTAGAGTATAAAATGTTGAATGGACTTGAAGGGAACTTGACCAATTCAATGGTCTGCATCCTTATCATGAACATTGAATCCAACGTTTCTCAACTGGTGACCAACGGCAAGGCTCCAGAAGGTCCGCGAAAATCCCCCCAGGCCAAAATAAATAACAGAAAAAGGAAACTATTTAATTTAAAAAGATGTGTGTAACTTTCAGCCAACTATTAAAATAGTCTTCAAAATTACTTGCATTAATTTTAGAAGCTTACAAATTTACGCAATAATAAAGGGAGTCTGTGCAGTTCCCCTATATCCCGAAATGGGTCTTCAGGTAAAGAGGTTGGGAACCATTGCTGTAACCTAGTCGGTTGTCAAAACTTTTACAACGGTTCAGAGACTTGGGAAAACCCTTGAATGGTCACAGATTACAGTGGACATGCCTGCCAATATCTTGAAGAATATAAGAGAACGTCAGAAGCACTTGTGGATTCATGGAAAAGTCCTCAGTTTGCCATTTGCATGTTTATTTTTATACTTGAGGTGCACTTTATCTGCCAACCGCAGATTTGTGAGCGCCGAATATGTCAATTTTTTGGGGGGGGGGGGCCAAATCTGATATTTGAGGGTATGATCCGGAGGATAGTTTTCATTTTCTTCAACGACTTTCTATAGTGAAGTTATACACGGCCAAAGTTGGTCCACTTTGAATGAATTTTGATTCTACTTAAAATTGTGACCAATAGGACTGACTCCAGGATTGATTCCATGCTCTAAACCAGGGGTGTCAAACTCAATCGGTTGGTGGGCTACATTCCCTACCCTGCAGATGCCTGCGGGCCGCACCCATTATTTTTCACCGAAATTTGTGCTAACAGTCAATCCAAGCGGAAATTGCAAGAACAGACGGTGGGCGGATGAACCACCTCCGCGGGCCGTATGTTTGGTACCCCTGCTCTAAACTAAAGGATGCGAAGGTACAACCTAGCGTATTTTACGACATACGTTTGTACCTCATAACGTACAAAATATGAACCCCACTGTACGTTTCTGCTTTGCTGTGTGGTGGTGCCCATAGTCTATGGGCCCATAGTCAATGGATCAGAGGTCTATGGGCCATAGACCTCTGATCCAACTCATGGGAATATTAGTCCAGCTGGAGTCTACGTAGACAGGGGCAGCAGCTAAAAACAATCTTGCTATTATAAGTTAAACCTGGTCTCCTAACAGGAATAAGACACTTGTCTTAATTCCCAAACGAGAATTATCAAATGGATTTTTAGGTTCTTCCCCCCATTGCCATCAAGGTCCACTGGAGATAAATATAATTTTGCTCACAAGAGACTCAGATGAACGGGACGTGTGAACCGCAGATGCGCATCTTCTCAAAGCCGTGCTTTTGGAAATACCTGAAAAAATGACGAAATGGTCTAGGAATCGGATGAAAGTGACAGAAACTAGAGTACTATATTCTAGCCAGCTCACTAATTCTCCCACTTTCATCCAGACACAGTTCAGGAAGAAAGAAATGAAACGAAAACTAAAGGGTACCAGCCCAGGTACAGATCTAGCATTCCACTGGCCCCTGTACCACTGAATTTATTATATATATATTCACCGCATCCTAACCATCCAACCTTGAAATAAATAACTGTCATTGGTTCGGCGTAGGTCTATATGAAAAGGCCTGGACAGCTAGACATGTTCTCGACGGTCCGCGTCGCGTGTAGATGGGAGGACAGAATAAAGTTTAGGATGCCAGATACGGCATTTCACGCTTACGCCTAGCAATCCTGTCTACGCAACCGGGAGCAGCCGCTCTACTCCATTGTCTACTATGGATCCGTCAACTGCCAGGGCTGGAAGGAAAGTGGATGTTTTCGTGGAAGACGGGCACCCCAACCCAGGCAGAAAGCTGCGCGTGCGCATTGGGTAGTGTTGTCCGGTAGGTATAGTTACTGCGGACAGATGGAATGGGGGGGGGGGGAAGAAGAAAAAAGTAACAAACCGACCGCAATATCTGGCATTTCCCCACCTACAGTATGTGAATGACAGAAAATTGGACGTCCTCAGAGTGAGAGAGAAAAGGCTGAGGGACTTCCGGAACTTTCTTCTTCCCTCCCAACAAACCACCCTTCTGCAATAACCCTGCCATATAATAAGCCCGAAAAAGCCGCAGAACACTCATCGAAAAGAATTCTTAGCGACGGTCCTACTTCCTTAACCCAATAACGGTGTCAACAGTAACGGTGGTAAGAGTACTTCACGCAGTACTCGTCTGATTATAACTCATGCCTGACGGAGAAATAAAAACCGTCACGGTATTGAGATATGTAGTCCACTGTATCGAATGAAGAGGTTTGCAATTGGGGAAAACGCTAGATAAGAGTTGCAGCTTTTTTGCAGAGTTGTCTCACTACAGTTTAAAATACTGGAAATTATGGTGAGAGAAAAAACGCCAGAGTGGTCAGAGAAGGCAGGAACAGTCAATGTCAAATGCATCTGAGAACGATATGCATTCTTAAACCTTTAAATTCTACACCTGAGTATACTCGTGATAGCTCCGTGGGCTCCTTAGGAAACGCGGGAGTTAAAGGATTAAACAGACATTAAATAATGATTTGAAATGGGATACTGCAGCTTTGCGCTTTATGAGGGTTTCACGTCATCACATTCACATGTATGCTATGAAAGCGTTGGTTTTTCTCCTCAGATTTCGTGCTTTTTATGAAATGCTGTTGCGATTAAAATAATATTGCAGTTGCTGCGTACAAGAGAATTTCGTCAGGCCTTTCCATCAACCCTAGAAGTGCCAGAAGCAGCACGGTGGCTTACCAACGTCGAGTTTTTCGACGGTTGGCACTTCTAGGGTTAACGTTCACTCTGCATGGTGCAGCTGCATTAGGAAGGGAAATTCACTCGAGGATAAGAGGTACAGATACATTGATAATGTGAACATTTTCCCGATAGGATTGAGGAATGCGGATTGTGGGAGAGTCGACAACATAGACGCCGACTTCCAAAAAATACTGGGGGGGGGGGGCAAATTTTTAATGCCCCTGAAATAACATAACATTGACGGAATTATTCCAGGATCCATTGGGGTAGCTCAGTATTATTATGATAGTAGAGTGACGAGCGGGGGGCTTGCTGGGCATGGCCCAGCAACCCCCCCGCAAATCATATTTTTCACTTCTTTCGTGAAACAGAATTTATGTTCAATTTTCCATGAGCCATACTTTTGTTGAAATTTGGCCATTCTTTGGGGGAAGCGTTGTCCCCTCAACAATATAGTTGGGGGGGGGGGGGGGCACGTGCCCCTTTGCCCCCTGGGTTCGGCGCCTATGCTCGACAGTATGGAATGATAATGACTCTTGATCATATCTCTCAGTCCTCCTTCAGGACGAGCTGTACAGTGTCAATGGTGAATATGTTCTGTTCCTGACGTTGACTCATAGGGCATCCAAGAAATTTATGAACTCGTCTGCAGAACTCAGAGAGCTCTAGAAGGACAGGATGTCACTCTGGCCATTTTGGGACAGGTTACCCCCATAGGCGGCGATTTGTTGAGAAATATGGGGGGGGGGGGACTCGGAGACCTTAGCAAGTATCCCTTATACTTAAGTGTTCACTGGTCCCCTCCCCCCCTTAAAAAAAAAAAAAAAAAAATTCCGTCCGCTCAGAAAGATTTAGGCTTGGTCTAAAACAGTGGTTTTTAGGCAAATGTACCAGAGGACTTGACGACTGGACCAGAAACAACTGTAGAGAGAAACAATTTGAAGCAGTCTAGCGATTGCATGCTCAAACACTTGATTGACAAGCATGATTACTGCACACCTCACTGAATGCCATGCCCAATCATCTCGTTGATGGT